TTTAGGAAAATTACTGTTATTTTCCCCAAGTTAAAACATCTTCACATCCCCAACAAAGACAAAGGCGTCTAACCATGAAAGAAGAAAAAATGTTGTACCCATAATTTTACGGTGTAATTCTGGCAGCCACAACTTCTAGCGTTTCACCTACAATTTCCTTTTTTTTCCTCCTTTTTTTTCCCTTTTAACAATGCAGTTTTCTTGTGGATTCTTGTAGATTCTTGACCAACAAAGTTCTAGAAAAGAGAAACTTACCCATGATGCATCCAGCTGTGCTGTTATCCGGACAAACTCTCCCTTGTGATAATTCAGTCCTTTACCAGTTCAATATCATCAATAAATTGGCACAAATTGGTGCCCACGGCACACATGGAAGAAATGAAATTACCTTTAACCCATCAAAGTCTGGCTTTCTGTTGTTGCTGCCTGGATAAACGGCCAGTGTGCCTCCACAGAAATAACCATACATTTCGTCCTTCTCCTGACTTCATCAGAATCTACTACTGATTCTAAAAATGGTGAACTTTGAGTCCCCCCCCCACTAGCGACTTCCACACTGAAGGGTGTTGCTAACTGAGCTGTGGTTACATGCAGTGTGTTCTAGATCAACAAAGGATGATAAAGTTGGTCTACCACCAACACTCACATTTCCTGTTACTCTGACATAACAAGCCAAAAAAAAACCCAATATGATTTTTATTGTAGCCGTTGTCTTCGGCATCTCTTTAAACCTGTTGGTTTTCATTTCTGTCAGGCTGTTCAGCCTCTGAGGCCTGAGCTGATTTGGTGAATCAGAGTGAATGCTCTCCATTCAACATCTCTCTGCTGACGAACGCTGAGTCTCGCTCAGGAGTGAGGGTCCCTTCTTTTTATTCTTTCACAGCCTGACACAGTCCAACTTTGTGATTCACGCTGATAAAATCCATCAGCCTTTTTATATGCGCATTTTTGCCGCTTGAATATTCATCCCGCGGGGATTAGCATGCAGCGTCGTGCGAATCCTTGTGCGCTGACGCGCTCTTTTTGTGCGTTTCTGAAAAGTCAACATTTCATCCGCACAGAGCCGGGGCTTCGGCAGAGACGAGCGTGTACGTTCAGGCGGGGCGGGAGCGAAATTTATCAACATCACATGACGCACAATGGAGACATTAGCTCTTCATTCGTCAGATTCAAAGGACTGCGGCTTGGCTGTCAATCTGGCATTTAGGAGGGAGGGATGTGTGGTGAATACGGAAGATGTTGTCTTTATTAGCGGGAGCAGAGTGAAGTGAAAGGGAGCTTACAAAGCGGGGCTAGCTCCTGTGTGTGTGTGTGCTAACTGGAGGGTTTCTGAGATTTGAACTGAGGTGCATCCGTTATCTCAGCCCCACTTCATAAAGAAACCTAAATTTCCCCGCTTTCTGGTTGCAGCTTTTGTTTGCTTTTAACAAATAACTTCAGCTGACGTTTCCTCTGGACGTCTTAGGAGTGCGTTGACCCGGGTATTTGTCATCTCTACTTGTATATTTGGGAGATTGTAGCTTACTTGAACTGTGGCTTTTCCAAAGAGCTGAGAATATTTCAAAATGCAGGATGTTGTATGACGGACAGAGTTTACGGTTGCATTCGCACCAGCCACGTTTAACCCGCTCCAATCGAACTCTAGTTTGCCTGAAAAGCCCGGTTAGTTTGGGGAGGTGTGAACGTGCAGTCGGCTAAAAGCCTTAGTCTCAGTTCAGTTGGAAGTGAACTCTTGTGCGGTTCAAATCAAATGCACATGTGAATGCCAAGCGGGCCAGAGACCGCACCAAAAGCAGGAAGTGGACTACAGCGCTGGGCATTCTGGGTAAATACAACCAAAATGAGTCAAGCGCTAGCGGGCAGAAATAGGATGTGGTCTTCTAACGACAAAAACGAAACCCAAAAATTTGATGCCGCTCTGTTTTTGTTTCCTTTTTGTGAAGAAGGAAGTTGCTCTCGTGTCTTCTTCAGAGGTTTTCTTGTCGTTTCCTTCAGTAGTTTGTGGTGCAGCGCCACCGCAGGCCAGGGGGTGAACGGGTTTTTCAATTAGTTTGGTTCATTTGACAGTGTGAAAGGAAAATGTAGCAAAAGTTACAGTTTTGATCCCCAATCAAACGGACTCTACCAAACTATCAGATGTAAAAACTCCTAACTATATTAGAGCTGTTCTAAATTTGACAATATAGTTTCAGCAGCAGCGTGGTGAAAATAACACGATACAGGCGTCATTTCCTCTTGACTTTTCAGAAAAAAAAATCAAATAAAATTATGTTGCAACCACTTCCAAGCCTTGTTTTTTTATTAATGTTTTCTTTTGAGCATCAGATCTGGACTTGGACAACGAAACTACAAGTCGATGACGTGGTCGGGGATCAACTTGTGTATCGAGTCTTTCTCTCAAACAAAACGAATTGGCATTTAAACATTTGTTTTGGGGATAAATCTGTGGCTTAAACACATCTGCGTGGGGTTTATTTCGCAACAAACAAACAAAAAAATAAATTCCATAGTTTTATTGTTTGACTGAGCAGCTCTTTGAATAGCATCAACAGTTCAGTCTCTAGTTTTATATCTGCACCACATGAGGGGCTGAAAATCCTGTGCTTAATTTACCAGAGATCTCTCAGCCCCGAACTTTTTGAGATTTATATTTGGAAGGCGCTCAAAGACGAGGAGAGAGCACTGTAACCGTGTCCCCCACCACCTTTTTTTTTTTTTTTTTTTTTTTCGTTAATTAATTATGTAACCAAACCCTCGTCTGATGTGGCTGGAAGGACGTTTCTGTGAAGGAATTCAAGTTTCTTTGGCTCCTCGGCAAAACCTGATCCTCCGTTCAGTGCTTTCCTGCCAGAATACTAATAACGCTTTGCTTTGCTTTCCGAAGCAGCAGAGGCTTTGTTGATATGAGGGTGTGGACCTGTGGGCAGAGAACGTGTGCCCATTTGTGTACATAAAAGAGACAGAGATAGTAAATGTGGCTGGAAGGGGACAGTTAAGTGTTTTTATCGGAGAGCGATGGATAAACAGGAAAGGATGGAGCGCACTAATTGTTTCCTTCTTCTTCTAAAAAAAACAGTTCTTCCTTTTTATATCCTTTTAACAGTGGAGTGTATTGGCAGGAGAATAAAGGCCAAGTCTGAATGAAATTCAGAATGAGATTGTTTTGTTTTTTTTGTAAATATTTTAAACTATAAGCCCTTTTAATTAATAGGTGCTTCATAAAGCGCCAGGAACCTCAATATTTCCATCTCCAAAGCTGTTTTTATGCACATCTAAGGCACACAAACCGTGCGCAGCCCATTTTCCAGTTGGCTTAGGCAGCGCAGCTTATGATTTGTGGCTTTGTTCGAGCCCCAGCATTTATTTTGCAGCAAGAAATCAGGAAATATTGTGGCGAAAATTCCATTCCATTAAGTTTGGAGGAGCTATTGGGACATTTAATCCCCTTTCAATCCCTTCCAGCGCTGGTTCACCGCTACATGGGCTTCGTGTTTTTAGCTGTGCGGTCGCCGCCAGATCATTATGTTATACTGTCAATGAAAGGGGGGGGAAAACTTGGGTGTTGATGCACGTCAGTGAAAGCAGCGGAGCTGAGGAGATTTTCTGTTTTGTTTTTTGTTTTGTTTTTTATGGATGAAGCTCACTGGGAAATGTTTTAGGGTTATTTTTTTTATCTACCTGATGTTTTTTGTTTGTTTTTTTAATGCTGGTTCACAGTTTGCCAGACCTGTTTCACGTTCATACTTGATTATTGTCATTGAGGTGAAAATGTATTAAGAGTAATGGCTGCTAATTTAATTGCTAACCTTGACAAAAATGATCTTAATTTTCCTTCTAACCTGACACAGATTTAGCATTAAGTAGTTGGAGGAAACTATTGTTGTTCCAAATTCGTCTTTGGTTTATGCGTGTTAACTTATTTCCATTGATTTCAGTTAAAGCACCTCACAAATATTATTACACCCACTGGTTATTAACCAAAACCTTCGAACATGGAGCTTTGCTCTCTTTGGCCTACATTCAAAACTCTACACCACAGTGAAACGTGTTGGTGGTGGCAGCATCATGCTGTGGGGATTGGGGTTGACGTTGCTAGAGATGTCTGTATTAGAGTGGCCCAGTCAAAGTCCAGAACAAGATCCTGCTTAAAATATCTAAGACTGATAAAATGTCAGTAACCAGAGCCGGATAGTAACTTATTACATTTACTTGAGTAATTTTTTTGAAAAAATGTCTTCATGGGTATATTTTTACTATACTTTTTGCTATTACTTGAGTGCCATTCTTTTAGTTTTGCTACACGTACTACTTAGACTTCTTGTTTGGAATATAACAAGCTTAATTTATTTATTATTATTTTATACCTGCTGAGCTTCATCCTGTCCTAACATACAGTATATTTACTTTACTCACTGTAAATACTTCATAGGTTATTTTCTTTTCTTTTTTCTTGTTTGGAAATGTGTTACCTGAATCTGTTCTTTTTTTTTTCTTAATTATTTTTCATTTTAGTTTTTAACGTACCAGAATTTGGACATAACTTTACATTTTTGTCTCTCTGATTCCATCATGTTTAAACATTAGACCAAATGTTCCCATCAGATTCTTTTAGTTACTTTTACTTTAGTAAAAACATGTTAAACCTGCTCTTACTTCAGGACAATTTTTTGGTTACTCTGCCCACCTCTACCAATAAATTACGTCGACTTGTGGACCCGAAAAATTACCAGAAGTAACAAAACCAAAAAACCCGAAGTTTATAAGAATATTTTTTTTACAAAGAACCGTGCCTCCATAAGCAAATTTGATCCTCATGGTTTTGTTGTTCTCCAATATTCCCCCAATTGTTGAGGGGAATTTTAGCCGAAATGCATCGTTTGGTTTCCTAAACATATCGTCTTTCATGTCTCCAAACTCGTCACGGAGCTGAGTCAGAACTTTTGGTAATCGGAGGTGAATTTCATTTTGTGCCTTCTTTCTTCTTCCTTTCGTCCCTCCAGGGAAAGCTGCATGATGCCGGTCAGCCCCGAGTCGTGTCCTCTCGTCCAGGCCTTCCTGGCCGAATGCCTCGGCCGCCTGTTCCTGGGTCACGCCCAGACGCAGCTGAAGACGGGCCTGCAGACCCAGGAGAGACACCTCTTCCTCTTCAACGACGCGCTGCTAGTCGCTAAGGCCAAGTAAGCTTCCCCCCCGTTGGTCCAAACGTCCTGAAATTACTCGTACTGCCTCTTCCTGCCGCAGTTCGTCTGGCAGGTTGCAGAACATGGAGACGGAAAGATGCAAACAATGGGGAGGGAAAAAAAAAAAATCTGAATGAGAATATTTTGGAAGAACATTTACAAACTCGTTGGGTGTTCTGGTTCTTCCTGATGCGTTCCAGAGATAAAGTTGCGTTTTATCTCTGGTACCTTCAGATCCTCCAATTTTTCCAAAGCGCACAATTATTTCCCAGCCGATGAAATCGTTTCGCTGGCCCCGCAGTGAGGGACTCCCCACCCACAAACTAAATCACACAAGGACTCGCAAAAATAGCAACTCGAGGCACACGGAGACATTTTTGAGGTTTGCGTTCAGAAATAGACTGTAGCTCTGCACTTACTGTACACACAGACACGGCAGGACGTCTGTGGTGTGTCCCGGCAGTCACGTGCCAGCGGGGTGGAGCTGACCCTTCCAGGACAGAGACAACCTGCTGTAATTGACTTTAATTTTTTATTTCTTTTGTGGTTGAGCGCGGGTTGAGTTAGAGGAATGTGCAACAGCAAGAGGGGAGAAGACATTCGGGATCTATGTGTGCTTTTCCCTCCGCTGTATCGACCGAATATGTTCAACTGGATCATCTACCTCTATAATTAGAGATGTGGTAAACGGATGCACATTTTACTCTGAAAATAGAAACTTTTTATATCTTTATTTATAGAAAGTGTGTCGTAGCTTAGTGGAAGCATATCGTGAAAGTCCAACCTCAAACTGGATTCAGTTAAAACACTGGGGAAAAAAAGGCGCCCAGTGTGTTTTATAAAGCACACTGGACGCTTTATAAAGGCAAACTGAATGCATAAACTAATCGTCATATTCATTCATTCCTCCTGAATCAATGATTTGTGAAATAAATAATTTGCTACAGGGATTCTGACTCCCAACGGCAGGAGAAGGGTTTGGATACAAACACGCACCACACTTTTCACAAAGTTATTTTAAACTAGTTTGAACACCAGGCATCTTTTACACTCCTCAGGTAATACCACAATGCATTTAATGCGGGCCTATGATGCAAAATTTACATTTTGCACGCTTTTGTTCTTCCTTTTGGGCTTCAGCTGTAGTCCTTTGGGGGGGTTTTTGGCATTCAGTTTGGTGTCTGGAAAACGAGCTGTTACCTAGCAACCCCAGCTAAGCCTGGTTCGTCTCCTCATGTGCTGTACAATGGCTGCCGGAAAAGACAAGTGTGTTGTTGACTTCCCATCCAGAAACCACTTGTGGCGTTCTTGTTGGTTGTGCAGGAGGCTCCACTAATGCTTTTCAAAGATGCACGGTGGTATAACTGCGTACCTGTTTACATTCGCACATGAAAATGGCTGCAAGCGGTGAGTGGTCAGCAGCAGCTTATTTAAAGAGACAGAGGCCCTAAAACAGCTCATTCTGGAAGGCAGAATTGAACAGACTAAGATCTCACAATCCAAGAATGAGTTTTATGCAAACATAAATGTAATGAACATGTTTTACATAGACTTATCCTAACCTGTTCAAGGAAGCATAGTAGGTCTCCTTTAGACGTCTGGAACAGTTGGAAAACTTTTCAAGACTCCGATTTTTATCTGGGCTAACAGTTGTTTTGTACCTTTGCAGGTCTCCTACTCATTTCAAAGTAAAAGCCCAGGTCAGAGTGTGTGAGATGTGGACGGCGAACTGCATGGATGAGGTGTGTGAGGGAAGCACAAACCCAGAGAGGAGCTTCGTCATGGGATGGCCCACCTGTAACTTTGTGGCAACTTTCAGGTAAATATCTAGACTTGCACGCAAAACAGAGTAAGAAAAATGACTTTTAGAGACGCATAGAGCTGCATTCTTAAATGACTGTAATGTGATTCAAATAGGAGCAGATTGATGTCATTTGTCGTCGTCGTACAGAATTTCATTCAAATGCTATCCCTCAGCATGAAATGCTCTTGTGAGTCAACAGGCTTGTGTTTCTGAAAGAGTACACAATGTTCTGAGATGCAGAAGCACATCACGGAGGGGGAACTACAAATCAAAACGCGCGGTTATAAAATCCCTTAAACCCTCGAGCGTTTGTGGCTGTTCCCGTTTTTTTTTTTCGAAGCGGTTCAACCGAGAGAAGACAACCTCATGTGTGCATGACGGGCCCCGACATGTAGCACAAACAAACGCAGTCGCACATGCCATGCCGTGTTTATGCACCTGCCTGTCAGCACCACACACACACACACACACACACACACACACGCATCGCATTTTCTGTTAGCAGGAATCAAGCCTTCGCTTCAGGCAAAGTCTGCGGTTTGGGATTTGGAGAGAAGCTAAAGCTTTAATTATTATTTTTTTAAAAAACATTTTTCTTTTCTTATCTTCAGCTCTGAAGAGATCAAGGACAAGTGGTTGTCACTCATCGTTGGGTGAGTTGCTCCCTGGAACAAGCGCAGATCACATTTTTTGTAATACTTGAGATGTTTTTTGTTCAGCTCTGCGTGAGTGAAAAGTGAAACTCGATATAAAATGAACTATGTGACAGCCGTTGAAGTTATTTCATGACAGTGATTCTGAATGGAGCATAATTAATTGCTCTCCTTTCTTTTTCTCTCCATGTTCAGTCGGTTAAACGAAGGAAAAGAGAAGGACGATCCCAAAACCATTCCTCTGAAGATATTTGCCAAAGACATTGGAAACTGTGCATATGTACGCTTCCTTACTTGCTTCCCCTTTCTATTCCTACATCACAGAGATGTCTTCACTTATTAGTAGCATTGCCAACGTTTTATTTTATGCGACACACAAGTAAATCCGTGATGTTCCTCCAGGCCAAGACGCTCGCCGTCAACAACAATGACAGAACCGACGACGTCATTCGAATGGCTCTGCAGCAGTTTGGCATATCGGTAAGTAACAACGCAAACAACTTAATCTGACACTGAAGAATCTCTTCGTTTTCGGCGTTGTGGATGTGACTTACACGTGAACAGAGATTAGTCTGTCAGTGCTGTGGATGATTTATAATCCCTCTAAAAATTCAGAAAAACTTGGGTTTCAAAAATAGATTTCAATTCACATTCAACATTTTGATTTCTACGCTTCTAGCATTGACTAGTCATTAGTTTATTCACTTTAGCACCAGAGGCGCTGTCACACTGGGTGGATAGGTACACGGTTTCTGTAAAACTGTTTTTTTTTTAAACGTTTATTTAACCGGATAAACAAAATTTGAGATCAAGGCTTTTCCACCTGGCTAAGAAAGGCAACAGCACACGACACAATGACGGAGAGAAAAAAATATGCAAAATGTGAAAAATTGTCAATAAGGTGCAGAAGCTGAGGCAGTATAAGATTTAAAACAGCCAAAACATAGGCACTGTTTTTTATTTTATTTTGTGAAATAAGTTCTGACTGTTTTAGTTCAGCTAGCAAAAGGCCAGAGAAGCTGAAAGCTTTCTGTCACTTTGTTTTTTTTGCACACATGAACATAGAAAAGCGAACTTTCCTCAGAGCACGAGGCTTATCTTATTAGTCGCTTCAGTTTTACATGCCTCGCTGGTAGCAAATGTGTCTAACTTTGACTTTACTTCCTACAGTGAACAAGTTCACTGGAAAATAGATTGGGTTTTCAAGTTTTTGGGTCTTGATGTGTTGCTTCTTTCTCAAACAAAAGTAAATTTCTTCTTCTTCTTGTCTGTTAAGGGTTGTGTGAAGGATCACCGCTTGTGGGTCAGTTCCTGTAAAGATGATCCTCCATATCCTCTCATTGGTGAGCATTTTTGTTATCTAATATTAAATGAGCAATATATGATAGGAATGATTCCTAAGAAATTATCCATGTAGTTTTTTTAATATACATAGTATCACAAATTTCAAGTTGAAAACATCAGGCGAGAAGTAAAAGCTAAGAAAACCCCTCAGCAGGGCGTCGCTCCTGTTTAAGCATCAGAAAGTCAACATCTGGGAGCGTTTCAGTCCAGATGATTTTTCTTTTTCTCTTTTACTCGCGGTGGTATTTCCCTGACATTCCTCCACCATAATCTTTTTATTCTGTCGTTCACGTGAAATTTTCCCCCCTTTTTTTTTTTTTTTTTTAAGACGTCGCTGTTGCGCCGCGCCAACTTGGGCCATAGTTTCTATCACGTTTTCTCTTGTGCTTCTCCTCCTCGCGCTGCACATACCACAGCTTCAGCCTCTTAACCTCTGCGCTCTGACCTTTCCATTCAGGCCACGAGTTTCCCTTTAGCATCAAGATGAGCCACATTCGGGATGGAGGGAGCAGCCCTGGCGGACAAAGAGGAGGGCAAGGGAGGGAGCCCATGAGTCCGACCGACTGCCCCGAAGTTCTGCTGCTGGACCAGTGCCTTCCCCCAGACACCCAGTGCCAGTTCATCCTCAAACCCAACAAAGTGGTCCTTGAGCCGCCACAGATTATAGGTGAGTTGTTTTTTTTGTTTGTTTTTTAAAAAAAAAGGTTTTTAAAATCAACATTTCATCAAAATACATCCAATCTGGGACAAACTTCCAGAAAATTGTAAAACACAGAAGTCATTTAAATCCACTAAACCTGTTTACATTTGCCTTTGAACCGTAATTAACGGAGCATTGTCCAACTATACATGACGCCTATTGATGTTTTTGATGATGGCACTCGATGAAATGTAATGTTTGCTCTCAAATTGGTGACTTTTTTTATGATGGAAAGGACTTTGACCGTCCTTGTAGCTGAAATGTGCTGTGAAAATAAACTTGATTGCCACCATTCTGGTCAGAAACTTTGCAAAAATTGGAAAAAGTTTGGTAAAGGATGAACAAAATTACTCTAAAAACTAGTTGGGAATTCTGATATTGGACGTTTGGGCAGCTGCCCAGGGTGGCATTAGAAAAGGGGCCACATGAGCGCCAGATATAAGTTGTGCTTCTGAAGAAGTTTTCTATTGCTTTCATGCATGTGCAACTGGCACCACTTGTTTGCTCTTAAGGACAACAAAAACCAGGTGATAACCTGCACTTTGGTTGGAATTGGCAGAAGGAGACTTTTGCTGCTTCTGACAAAACCCTCCTACTTGTATACCTTGTATACTTGTAAACCAGAGAGAGTCATGGAGTTGGATCGATGGACAGTTGCTTTAAGGCAGAGGGGTCAAACTGTAGCTTTACGTTTCTACCCTCTAGAGGGCCAAATAAAATGAACTTTAAGATAACAGTTTTTGTAAATATTACTTTTTTTCCATTTGTACCGGGCCAAATTACATCAGTGTGAAAAGTTGTCGAAAAAAAGCTGCATTTAAAGACGTACTAATTGAAAGCAGACAAATTTGAACAGTTTATAAAACTGGTGTTTTTTTCCCCTTTGAGGACGTTGATGATCTTTATGTGGCGCGAAATGAAAAACAAGTTTGACATGCGTGACCAGCTCCTGCCCGTCGGTCCGATTGTCTGTGAAACTGCATGAATAAATATGAGAATGAAGAAGCGTTGATGCAGAACAGAAAGTACTTCCTTACCTGAGCAGCCTCACGTTTATGCTTCGGTCGGCGTCGTTCAGGCTGCGGACGGAGCGACAGGTGCACAAGAAGAAAAGAACGGTGGGAAGAGATCGAAACGACAAAGGGTTACAGCAGGGACTCTGAGGCAAAATACAAAGAAAAAAAAAAACCGTCAAGATGGACAGAGGCAAAGAAGCCCCAGAAGGCACAGAGGCGAGTGTGAGAATAGGAAGATGGAAAGCGAAAAGAGATGACACAGCTATTGAGTTAGACCGAAGGCCGGCAGAGGTGAAGGAAAAAAAACAAGCGATCTCGGATGATGGCGAGAGAGAGGAATTTGGTTAGAGGGGGGAGGATAAGAAAACGGGGGGGACTTTGAATACGAGCAGGATGGAGAAATGTAAAGGGGGGAGGAAGAAAAACACGACGGCTGCGGCGGATGGGGCCGAGGACAAACTGCGGATACAAAAACCGGAATGGAAAATAAAAAAATAAAAAGAGGGGATGACATGGGGTTTAAAGGAAAACAAGTTGTGGAGCAAAAAAACTGTGTTTTCCAGTCGAGGAGGCTCCAGTTTACCCACCGCAAGCATCGCCGCGGATTCTTTAGCTTCAACCATAACAGCGTGTTACACAATTCCTCCATACCAGCCTCACAGCCGTGGACGGGTAATTGCTCACACCCTCACTGAAAGATCCTGAGTGTTTGCATCGACCCAGTGGCTGCAAGGTAGAATCCCCTTTTCAGGTTGTGGGGGAAAAAAAACAACAACTTTCTCCTCATCTTTCCTCTTGGTGGATCCATAAGTAGACATTAAAAATATGTACTTGACTTGGAGGATTTTATGAAAACCTTAAATAAGTTGAAGAGGTACAAATACTTTGAAAAGCACCATAAGTGCCATAAATTGGTTTCTTTCAATATGAAACTTTTGGGTAACACTTTATTTGACGGGGTGTGCATAAGACTGACATGACATCATAATAAACACAAAATAACACCTGTTAGGAACATGAAGGAGACTTTACGAAGGTTTATGACTGTTGTCATGAGGTAAATAATGACACTTTTAATGGATTTTAATGCAAATTGTCATAGAACTTTTCATTAGAAGGGTCATTATTGACCGAATAAAGCAAAGATGACACTTTTAATGGACTTTTAATGCAACTTTTAGAGCAACTTTGCATTAAAAGTGTCATTATTTACTAAATGACACTTCATGTCAACAGTCGTAAACATTCATGAAGACTCCTTCATGTTCATGATGTTGGCTGTTTTGTCATGTCAGTCTTATGCACACCCCTTCAAATAAAGTGTTGCCAACTTATGACATTTTAGCAAAAACTGCAGATGTGTCTGCAGGTGAATCTTTGGTTAAAACATGTTTGATCTTCATTCAGTGGGTAGAGTACCCAGTGAATTTTACCCAAGAGTAACAATACTTCATAATAAAGTTACTGAAGTAAAAGGTACAATGTAGTAAAACTATTCCCAAAAATAAAAATTTTTTCGCCCTCCAAAAAATTTTGACTAGTTATCACAGAAGTGGTTCAGTCACACCACTCCTTCCGTGAAGATTTTGTTTTCTGCGTTTTATCAAAAAGATCACTCGGTTTCGATACGAAATGTTCTGCTAAGTCGCTGCAACGTCTCGAAGATGCTCACTTAATCCAGAGCCGTCAGCTCCAGGCATGGAGCGTCGTCTGCCTGCTGGGGTCTCCAGACCACCACAGCCCTCGTCATTCACACATGATTATTAAGCCATTAAACCGTCGAAGCTGAACATGAATCATCAGGTTTGGTTTATCTTGCGAGGTTCTTTATGGGGGGGATTATTTTGACACAACTCCGTTTTCTCTTGCGCAATGGGATTGAGAAGTGTGGCCGCCACGTCACTCCCTCTCTAAACACCAAAAAAAGAAAAAAAAATGTTTCCAATATACCATCTCCGTCACCCAAACATGCTTTATAATTTCTCTTTAAAATGTTCCAGATGATTTGCTCCAATTGTGGTTTTGGGGGTTAAAGGAGCTTCTTGGCTGAGGTCGGAGAGAAGACTTAGAACAAAAACCACTAAACGGAGCCTGCTGTGCTTCTCGATGGAATCGGATGAAATATAATGGAAACTGTCATCATGACTTTGGTTGTGTGTTAAGTTTTGATGACCTCGGGTGCGTCTCTACAGTTCTACTGTTTAAGTGGAGGTAGTTTGTTGTATGCAAAGACCCTGAATGTGAAGTGTAAACTTGAACAGATACGTTGTGAAGTAACAACTGTTGACGCATTGATCCACGTTTTGGAGCCGATGTCCAATTTACGATTTTTCTGAAGCTTTGACGCACTGATTTTAACCACTGTAAGGACTTCCCTTGGTGACCTCAGGATATATTTCAGTGTTTTTTTTTGGTATAAATTTGTTTACTATGGTACATTTATAGTCAACAAGTGATTTCACCAAAACAGCCAAAGGTTGTTTCAGTCGGCAGAACTTCACTGGTCCAGGTGAGTTCAAAGTCTGGTCACTAATTTTTGTTTGTTTGTTGGTAAAAATTTAGCCAACAAAATGGAGAACAATTGATGAAACCCTAAAATTTGGAAATTGTCTGTTTTTCTTTTAATAAGGCAACGATCTGAAGCCATTTTTTTTAAATGTTTTTGATCTTTAATGAAATAAAGATTTTATAAAAAAAAAAAAAAGTGTTTTTGAGCAGGTATGACTAAATAAATGAATAAAAAACTAACTCTTCCATTTTTAACTTTATGCATTTTGTTTGGACACCACCACTCCAGTTTATGGGACAGGGATGGAATAAAACTCAAAAACAGTCGTCCCCTTTTATAAGTCACATCCTTGGCACTTTTCACAACACAAAAGAGCATCATATCAGAAAAGGACACTAATTACCAATTGTCTGACCTGATATTTGAGACACAACAAATCATATTTAATAATAGATGAGCTAAATAGTTTTTATCTTGAACAACTTACTGTACTGGAATTAGCATTGCTAACTGTGCACCGCCTCACTCTGCTAAATGTAGTTTTTGTTACTGATTTGTCAGTTGGTGTCTGTCTGTTTTTATGACTTTGTTTCTGTGGTTTTAGGATGCACAAATGAACTTGATTTGATTGTCCTTAGCATAAGTACAACCGACCTTCACTCGTAGATTTGTATGCCAACGTTTCCAATACGGATAAAAGTGCAAAAAGAAAAGAAGAATCTTGTTTGAATCTGTTCAGCATTCCTGTTATCTGCTGAAGTTTGACTGACTCACACCAAACGTTCCTCCGTAGAGAGTACGATGTGGTCAGCTTTCTGCATTTTCCTTGACATTGAAAATGGCCGAGTCTTCCTGCCTTTGCAATGTTAAGAGTGTCTTTAGGTGAATGAAGTAAAGCACTAAAAGAACAGGGATTTTTTCTTTTACTATTTATCTGCATATTCTTGAATAAAAATGTACTTGATGTACATAAAACACTTTCACAACTTTCCCAGAAAACAGAACAACACACTATGTAGAAGAAACAAACACATTTTGTCCATTTGGAAAACTTGGAACGAACTTTTGTTGCATTTATGACCTTTTTAACTCTCGTACTCGGTACGTTGGACCGGTGCAGAAATGTTGTTTACAAAGTGCAGGAATGAGAGCAGAAGTAGCACATAAAGTTCAGTAATTAACCTGAATTGCTCAGTGCATTTTTGCCTGCTGTGTGTGTGTGTGTGTGTGTGTGTGTGTGTGTGTGTTCAAGGGTTCCAAACCGTTCCTTGATGCTATGATTACAATTTTTTTTCTTGAGCAAAATCCCATCACTTACTTTTTCCCCTCATTCCATTTTTTTTTCTTGAGCTCTACTGAGACCAAAATTAAAGCTAGTCCGCTAACCAAAGTAGCAACCACATGTAACTGAGGGGTTGCCCTCTATTAGATGTTTGTCAAATCCCATATTTTCTGTCATATTTAGGCTGCCAGGCTTCTCATATCAGAGTCTATGAGCTCCGATATAACAAAGCTTAAAGAAGAAGGCAAGAATTAGAACCATCTTCTTTGTTTCAGCGTTTTAAAGTCACTGCGTTCTCGAGGCTTTGGCCCACTGTGTGGACAAGCAGTCTGTCTGTCGCCTCCTCGTTGAGTCGTAATAATTTCGCAGCAAGGTCAGCGGTCCTTTGTTGATGAGAAGTACCGGAGCGGGCCAGTAACTGAGTTGCTGTTGAACTTTTGTTGCGTCGTTCAGGCACGACGCCATGACTGACTGTTAAATCGTGAACTCCGGTGTGTTTTGCGTGGGGCCTGTTTTGGCCGCGGGATCCCCCGCCCGCTTAAAGAAGCTTTTGTTTTTGTTCGAGTCCCCACCCTCGGATACGAATCACAACTGCCTAGTAAAGTAAATGGCGTTATTTGAAGGCCGTAGGCAGGCCGGATTTGCAGCGGTTGTGTGCGAGCGCAGCTGCTTGTTAAAAGATTTATTACGAGGTTTCGTGTTTTTTGCCAGGTCACTTGCTATTTATTAGCAGCACATTATGTGATACCAGTTGATATGAAATCTCTTTATGGGTGGTAATAGAAATAATTAGGGATTTGTGTAAGTAGTTCACACAAAGACCAGGATAAAGTCGACTTTCAGCTCAACTGATCCCAACATGCAGGAAGCACTCTCGCCTTGCAGCAGGAAGGTCATTGGTTCAAATCCTGGTCTGGGGTCTTTTCTGCATGTGAGGGTTCTCAGTTGCATTTTCCACTTTTTACCAACGGATCACAGAAGCGTTTGAATCCTTTTCACATTTTTTTGTTTTTTTTTCTCACGTTGCAACTACAAACTCGTGCCAGTGCACCCGCAAAAGGTAGAGATTAATTCTGAACTGCAAGGAAAATGATGCGTGATTTTCAAGTTTTAGCTCAAATAAAAACCTGTAAAGTGCATTTATGTTCAATCGCCTTTTACTCTGAGACCCCTAAATGAAATCCGGTGCAACCAGATGCTAGAAGTGATCTGGTGAACCAAAACTTTTGGTCGTCTGACACCAAAACTTAATTTTCTGGCTCGCGTCCATTTGCTAGTCGATTAATTGTCCCAGAAATTATTGCGAAAAACAATAATGTTGTTTTGAGACCATTTTTAAGTAATATATTGATAATGGTGAAATAATTCAAGTTTGCCCTCATAGGACTAATAAACACAACAACCAAAAACTATGAAATAAAATGGAAATTAAAACCACATATAGCCAAAACCATAAATGACATGGACTATGAAGCAAAATTACCTTTCAAAAAATATGAATCATCAGAATGGAAATTATTGAGCTTATTTTCGTTTATAAAGCGATTGACTATATTGCGACAGGCTTAATCTAAACTTTGAACAGCAGCCATTAAGAGGAGTCTGCAGCTACTTTGCATTCTGTAATTATTACTTTGTATATTTATATATATATTTTTAAACAATTCCATACATTTTAACAGGCGGCTCAGAGTGAGCAGACGCATGGCAGACCTGTGCTTGCAGAGCACAGGTACGGACTGTGACCTCGGTACGCAGCAGAGGACACGCAGTGACGAATACGAAGAGACAACCACAGGGCCCCATGCGTGTATGTCGGAGGACATCCAGAAAAACATAACCACATCCTACTGGCTCACACACAAGCCTCAAAATAAACGCTGTCCTCAGCCACCAACACACGTCTTCCTTCATTTTCCTCAGCGACTCCTTCTGTGGGTCTGACTCGTTCCCTTTTCATGAAACCTGAACTGAATGCACCCGCCCTCCCTGCGCACGCCTCACCTCAACCTGCCCTCAAATGTAGCTGCAGGGAGACGCGACAAAGTAAATGATGAATCAATTAATCCCATCGCAAGTTAAAACGAGCTCAGGAAGTTCCACTGACTTATTGTTTTTCTCTTTCTACCAAAAACTGGATGACAAAAGTTTTCAGTCTGGTACTTTGGTCTCAACTGGACCTTTTTTTATTTAGCGACTTTATACATAATTTTATTTGTTTTTTGTTTTGTTTATTTTACACTTAAAATAACTTCCAGTTCCAGTGTCACATGTTCATTAGAATTTAATTGTTCTTGCACTTTTACACCATTACCCTTAAAAACGCTCTCAAAACGACAATATTACCGTTTATCGCAATAACTTCTGGGACGATTTATCGTCCAGCAAAATGTTTTATCGACACAGGCTTAACTAAAGCCACTGTGAATGAAAATGCAGATTAATGTTGTTTAAGACGCGTTACCTGAAACCAACACCTGCATGTTCTTTACTTGTTTTTCCTCTGCAGAGCCCGGCCACCAGAAGACCTTCAAGAGGAAGCGATCCCTGATCAACTGGCCTTTCTGGAGGGGCTCCAGCACCCAGCTGGACAGCCTGCCTCTGTCCCCATCGCTGCTGTCTCCTAGCCAGGGACGGCTGTTTGGACAGCCTCTGAACTCGGTGTGCTCTTCAGATCACGGCCTGCCCAAGCCCGTCATGGTGAGATGACTTCAAGTTACTTAGATTAAAGATTTTTGGGGAGACGGGAGGAAAAAAAAAAAACAAAGGAGTGAAATAATTTCTTCTCCTGTTCTGTAGGAAATGTTAGTGTTCCTGTATCAGGAAGGGCCGTACACCAAGGGCGTGTTCAGGCGGTCGGCTGGCGCTAAGGCCTGCAGGGAGCTTCGGGACAGGCTGGACAGCGGGACAGAGGAGCCGGAGATCACACACCAGTCTGTGTTCGTCATCGCCGCCGTCCTCAAGGTAACGCCGCCTCTCAGCCCGCACCCAGCTCTCTCACCCGTCCGATACCAGACAACAGAGGGCAGGTCCGACTGAAGCGCGTCCAAAGTCGCCCGAGTCCAGACGGGCTGGTGTGTGTCGGCGCAGGCGGCCAGGCAGGGAGCCAGGCTCGCTCACAAGGTGCTGCCTTGTTCAGCTTCCAGCCCAAGCAGGAGCAGCTCAGGTGTTTAACTGGCTGCCCCTCAGACTGGAAAAACAAAACAAACCAATTTAAAAAAGAATATATGAGATATTGTCTCGTTTTTCTACATTTACCTTAAACTATTTGCAGCGTCTTAAAAATATGTCCATCCCCCTTGAAGTTTTTCCCCATTTTATCCCCCCAAAAGTCACAGGTCCCACACTGGCTCACACACCAGCCTCAAAATAAACGCTGTCCTCAGCCACCAACACGACTATGCTGGTGGCTAAATAACGACTTGAGCCATTATTTTATGAAATGCAAATCTGAATAGTGTGGCTTGCATTTATATTCAGCCCTCCTGAGTCACAACTTTGTAGAAGCATCTGTTTTTTGACAGGTCGATCAGATTTGCATGTGATTTCCTGCAATGGGCTACCTTGTATTTAGCCTCTTTAATCTTTAAAAAAAAAAAAAAAAAAAAAAGGCACTCCCACAGCATGATGGTGCCTCCACTGTGTCTCACTATGAAGATTTGTTGAGAATTATCTTTTTTTTTTTTTTTTTTTTGCAAACCAGTTGGTTTTTTTTTTT